TTGGACAAAGCTGCCTCTGTGTGATTCTGAGTCAGTGGCAAGAGGATCTGCAAAACCCTGAGGTGGCTCCATCCTGACAGCTGCACGGCAGGGAAGAGAAAGATGGTGGATTTGTGTAAATGAGTGATGATGCAGAAGGAGAGACACACATACCAACAAAAGCAAGATTGCAGTTGCATTACAAGACGAAAGGGGCCATCATTTGAGTCATGGCCAAAATTGTATTTGTTACGGGTACAACAGCTTTAGCAGGTTTAGTAGGACCCTTAATTGGACATGTGGCTTGAATTGTAGCCAGTTTGGGTAAGTAAACAACCTTTACACTGTACAGCAATGTTGGATTTCAAACAAAATGACCAATCTAAAACAGAGCTCACTGAATGGAGACTGTCTAGACGTAGAGACGGTTCCTTGTTAGGCACCCTACCCTCGACTCGCACTCAAATTTGTCCCAGCGGCTTTTCATACCCATGTTATCCAAAAATATACCAAAAGACAGTCCTGCACAATGAAAAGATTAATAAAAAAAAATAAACTTTTGACCAAAAACAATATATTCTGATGTAACCCCTTTAATCATCAACATTTTTATCAGTAACTAGCTGTTTACAATTACTTTCGTAATTGAATTGATAAAATGTAACTAGTTAGTCCAACACTCCTCCTGGGACTCCACATCAGACTCAAATGTCTCCTGTTTAACAAAGACTAAGCCAAAGTCTGAGTAGAGACACTGTATTAGTCCAGCTGTAAATATGTTAAGTTTGATCTTCTGTTGGTCAGTGTGTACTGGTGTTTTACTTGCAAGGCTTTCATGGAAAAGTGCAACCGTTGTCAACACTATCCGCTGTACTGTGTGTACAAGAGGAGCTGAGCTCTTCCACTGCTGCTCAGAGGCGATACAGCAGCCCCAAATTCACCATGCAAGTGCAACACAAGCCCCGTAAACAAAAAGCATATAAGAGTAATTTATTAAAGTAACCCTTTCAAAAGATATATAGAAGAGGAAAACATTCAGCAGAATACATTTAATTCAGGTAAGGCCACACTGAAGCACCAAACACTGCAGGACACTTAAAAGGGAGAGAGAAATTCCCTCCATACAACAAAACAAAGCTATTTCTTTGTTATTTAGTATAAAGTTTAAGTATAAGTATAAAAAAACATTAAGGAATAGCTTAGCTGCAGGCAATTTTTTTCTTCCTACAATGCAGAGCTATTCAACTGTATTACTAAGGAAAATGCAAGTACTGGATCAGGACTCGGTATCATTATTATTTTTTTACCGAGGTATCAAATGTTGTGATTCATGGAGTTTAGATTCTTCTTGTAATATCAGAAAGAAAATATCTCAGCTTGGGCATCAACATGTCTAAGGACAACCAAATACACTCAGGAATGTGAGTGTAAACGTTTAAGTTCAAATGTATCTGAACCAAAATTGGTTCGTAAATAATTACACTTGTATTTACCATCATCTGGGCTTGAAGCTTCACATGGACTAGCGAGGGCAAGTCTCTCATTTGCTGTGGTTGTAGGAGATGAGACCTCCCTGTTGAGATCTCTCTGTCTCAGCATTGCTTTAACTTGTTGTAGAGCTGAGAATAAAGAGAGAGAAGTAAGACCAAGAAAATGACCATATGTATAAAACAATCTACTGCAATGAAAAGGAATAAAAATCTCCACTGTGAACAATTTTCGTACAAAGTTGATAATTTATGTTTCATTGAATAAAAATCACATATTGGAAAAATATGCACATATTATAAAAACTAAGATGTAGCTATTAATTTAGCAATTAACAGTACAACAATACATTTACATGTATCAATCACTTTGGATTGCCAATGTGTGACCAGATTGTTAGTGGGAAACTAGTTAGTTATAGGCTGTATATGCTTATTTATGACGGCTTATTAGGGAAGCTTTACCTTTGACTTCTGGAATAGCAGCCAGCTCCTCGTACACATCGATCTTCACATCTATCTAGAAGTAAGAAAGGCAAACAATGTTAATTAAAACCCATATCAAGCTAATTTGTTAACACATTTTCAAGTCTGTGCCATCTCACTTTACTGATGTATGCTCTCATGTGTGTCTGTTTTGTCTGAAGTCTGAAGTTCATTCCAGCAAACCTTCTGCCACTTCTCTACTTTATTTTTGTACATACTGTATTACACCATCAAAGCAGATTAACAACCACACACAGATTTTTCAATCAAGTCAATTTTGGGTCATTTTGAATGTGTGGGGAGATTTGAGCAGATCACCTGGTTGCATCGGGATCCTGTATCTTTCTCAGCCTCAG